GCTGATATGAAGTAAGGGAGATGTACAAGAACACCCATACTTGCAGATAGTACCCACTTGACCTGACTTCAATGGCTGGATGATCAGAACTTGACTGGAAGAAGAAAGAAGAGGGAAAAAAAAGAGTAATCCACTATAACTTGATGAACTTGACCTATACTTATGTATAGGTCAAATACTTATGTATAGGTCAAAAGAGGGAACTAATCTTTACAGTGAGGATCATTCCTCATTGTCTACCCAAAATGGGGAGGCTAAAAAGGCAAGAAGTGACTGGCTTACAAGCTTTCAAGAGGGAGCCTACTTCCAAAAGGGGTGGGGGAAGGTAGAATCGCCACTGAGTGGTTTCCAGCTGGTTGGGATGAGGCTGATGAAAGGAGATGGTGATAGGACTCTTGTGGTACAATAGTGAATAATTGCTATCACACTGACTGTGAGGGTCAGAAATGTAAAGATAGATGTTTTGTAACAAAAGGAGGGGAGTGGTTGACTTTGCAGTCCAGGAATGGAAGTCCCTGGAACTATCAAGGGAGAAGAGAGGAGTGTGGGACCCTATCCAGAGAAGCGGTGACACCAGAGATGGAGTCAGAGATGGTGACTTGGAGAGATGGAGATGCTGGGGACTCTGGACTCAGGGAGGAAGAGGGGTTGTGTGCTGATGGCTGGGAGGCAGACTTGCAGGGTGTACTCTTTGGTTGTTTGATGATGCATGGAGCGGATTGTAATCATTGCAATAAAATTAAATACGATAGGGAGAGGAAAAAAGATGGAAGGAAGGAATACAGAGTCACTATACCATGTTCAACCATTTCAAGAGGTAGCACATGATCAAGAGTCAATGACACTGAAGGAGGAATCCCAAGGTGCACTGAAGGCACTAAAGAAGACCAAGACTTCAGGAATTGATGGACTACAAATGGAAATCTTTCAACAAACTGATTTAGCACTGGAGATACTCATTTACCTATACCAAGAAATTTGAAAGACAGATACCTGACCAACTGATTGGAAGAAATTCTTAATAGTGTCCATGCCAAAGAGAGGTGACCCAACTGAATGTGGAAATCATCGAACAATATCATTAATGTCATATGCAAGTAAAATTTGATAAAGATAATTCAAAAACGGCTGCAACAGTACATTGACAGGGAACTGCCAGAGGTTCAAGCCAGATTCAGATGAGGGTAAGGAATAGGGGATTTCACTGCTGACATCAGATGGGTCTTAGCTTAAATCAGAGAATACCAGAAGGATGTTTGCCTGTACTTTATTGACTGTGCAAAGGTTTTCAGCTGAGTAGATCATAATAAGACAGACTAGGAAGAAAGAGTGACAAACTGGATAAAATAGAC